TTTTGAACACTTTTTTAGAATAAGAGATTCTTTATCGATTTCAATAATCTAGAAATATGATTCTAAATAATTTTTACAGGATGTATAAAAAATAAGTGTCATTATGATTTTATCATCATGATTCTACATTTCTGGATTGATGAAGATTTATAAAAAAAATTTTGCCGCAAAAATGACATTTTTTCTTGCATTATATAGTTTTCGTCGAGAAATAAAAATCTTAAAGAAACCCTCTAAATAGCTCGTAAATGAATTTCTTTTCGAAAAAACGAGTCTAAAATTTAATAAATTATTTTTTTCAATAAATTTATATTTTTATTGAAATATTGTAATGTAGATAATATGCAATTAACTTGCCAACTAAATATTATATATTATCGAATTATGGAAATATTCAATAAATTCAATAAAGAAAATAATTATGTCTAGGAAAAATATTAATTCGATACGATTTCTAGTAGCTAAATCAACAATTTATTGATCAGAAATTAATATTATATCATCTTCATTACAAAACTCATTAATTAATCTCAATAAAAAAGGAGCAACATCATTATTTTCAAAATAACTCGATGAATAAGAATAAATAAAAAAAAAAATCATATATATAGATTATATTCAATTAAACATATATTAAAGTTTGACAAGATTTTTGCCGATGGATTAAAATTGAAATATAAATCATGCCTTTTGAAATATATATTTTAAATACAATACATGATACATTGATATTCAGTGTTTTTCAAAGTTAGTGAATATATTTAAATTTTAAAGATAAATATTATAATAAAATAATACAAAATATTTCTTTTTTAATAATATAGAACAAACAATTTTTTTTTATAAATTCAATCTGTTTATGTGAAAAATAAATACGATAAAATAATAGTACAGCTAAACAAAAAAAAAATATATAAACTTGATTTTGTTTTATATTATTATAAGAAAGAAATAATATATAGATATTATGTAAAATTTAAATATGTACTAATTTCAAAAAATATTGAAAATCGAAAGAAACAAATAAAGAAGCAAAATAGGATGTATAAAATAGGATATATTTTGGAATTTGTCGCGGACTCTATTTACAAGAAATATTTAAATATTAAATAATAATATGGTTACAGAAATTTTTAGAACAGATTTTAATAATTATTTTTTTATTTATTTAGAAATATTATTTATTTTAAAAAATTTAATCAGATAGATAGATATGGAATTCTTAAATGTAAAAATAAATTACATTATCAAATGCTTTTTAAATAAATGAAGTTCAACAGAAAAAAAATATAATTCGAAAATTTGTTTATTCAAATAATTTTAAATTGATTGAGAGTTCGATGATCTGAAAAAAATCGACGAAATCGATGAAATAGAGACATTATAGAATCGATTAAACATTTATTGAAATTCAAAAGATGTAAAATGAAATGTTATAAGAAAGATAAAAAGGCAAGTAAAATATAATTTTATATTGGATTAGTTTTGATACTTCAATTTCAATATAATACTATAATATAATTCGAACGCATTGAAATTATTTACCGGTATTAATATGATGTTTATTAATTCCAATGTCCTTAAAATACTATATTTATAACTTACATCGCGTTTTTGTTGGCAACTATCTTTGACTATTGTTGTTTTTTTCAGATGTTGAAATATATTTAAACTTGGTATTAAAATTTTTGTTTTGTAAAATAATCCGTCGATATTTTTTCCACTACATTACAATATATATAATTCGATATTTTAATATTGCTATTATGCGTTCTTAGTCACATTTTTCTTTCATTAATTATTTATCGAATAAGTAGCGTTTTATTTAATTGCACTTTATCTTTAAAATCACAGAATGCCTAATTCTGTAAAGCAATATTAAAAATGCTTTAATCCAAAAAATGTTATAATCCATTAATTCATCCTTCTTAATAAAGATATAATTCGTCCATATTCTTATGTTAACTTTTTTTTTTCCATTCGCATTATTTGATTTGTCTCTGTATCATCATCTTATTTGATTGATATTTATATATGAATTATAATTATACATTAAACTTATTCAGAAATTCATTAAATGATAATTGTA